ATAAATACACGTCGCACATGCATACGATACTTATAAACAATCAATCACGTCTCGTTTGGATGTGCTCGATCGCCACCAGCCGTAAAAACGAGCTGCATCGTGTATCATACATACGACGGGACATGCGTGCATATGTAATAAGAATCATCCTAAATGCAACTTTGGAAGGACTGTAAAGTATGTCTGTTTAGGCTTGATGCCTAATCACAAAACGAGTCGAATGTTTCTTTGAGTTAATTTGCCTTTTATATACAAACACATACGTAAGTACGTACGAGCGAGCGAGGAAGAGCCTTGCTTAATCTAATTAACCGCGTGGAGCTTGCGCAGCGGCGCTGAGAATTTTTTTCTCCTTTATTTTTTTGTTGCACGTTACACTCTTTATAGTGTGAGAAAAGTTTTCTGGTGCTCGTATGGGTATATACAGAGCTGCGAGCCGCAACATCAGCAGCAGCAGCGGTAGCTATTTTGTCCGAAGCGTGAGAATGATTAATTGGTACTAAGTGGGCATCGACCGCACACTGACTCGAGGATATGAGGCATGGGTAGCTCTATAGCCGTATAGAACAGCGGCGGTAGCTCGTGTTTAGAATTTGATTTGCTTTTCTTTTTGCGTGTCGCCGCGCTTTCTGCAAGGGCACGAGCGTATAGCATGTACGGTTATACGGTTGTATACACTTTCCTTCGAGCGGGGTTGTCACCCAGCTATATAGCACCGGAGAGACGTTGTTACGTCTCGTTAGTCATTGCAAAGAATTTCCATCCGTTAGTTTCTTCTCTTTTTTTTTTTAATCGGCTTTCATTGTCGCGCGTTTGATTTCGCGTCCGTGTGAGCTTGTGTGTGTGTAAGCGTGTGTAAGAGTGCGAAGTCGCGCGCGAGCGTCGAGCTCTTACAGTCACACAATGGTATCGATAGATTAAAAGTGAAAGCCGGAATATAATAACAAATATTGCGTGGGTAAGAGTGACATAAAGGGGCCGATAGGCATTGCAAAATCATAATTCGGACTCTCATTCGTTGACCTGTCCAGACGCGCGCGCGCCATAATATTGTGTGTATTTATAAAGCATGACTTAAAAAAAAAAGAAGCGAATCGACCGATCAGCGAGAAAGGATTCATTTGTTTTTGCTATTCGTCATGGCACCTCTCGATTCCCATGACTTTTTATTATCTTTCGCGCGTTGAGCTTTATACCTTATGTCATCGATCCTCCTGCCGTATTTATTTATAGGTATAATGCCTCAAATTGTTTCGCTTAATTGAACCTTTACCGTAATGGACGATTTTTCATTTAAAAGCTTCATTATATGCCAAATTAGTCGCGCGGTCGAATAGAATCGGAATTTTCAAACGTGAGAAAAAAGTCGTCGGAATTTTATAGGCGCCCCGAGGAATCCAGTTTAGTGTAGACGTCGAGTCACGCAATTACACGCGAACTGCAACTTCATCCCCTAATAATTCGCGATACAATAGAAATTGACGTGGGCTCATTCGATAGATTTACATAAGTTAATGAGCTGCCTCGTGCCGATTTGCCAAAAAAAAATCAGGTAGGAATTAAGCCAAGGTAAAAATCGTATACATTTTACACGCTGGTAATAACAATTAGCTTAAGCTCCCTCGACGACGAAGGATAGATTGTCGATACCCATCGACACACGCCGGGATTAGCACTTACCATAAGCCTGTAAAAGATTTTGCGAGCGATTTCATCCTCTCTCGTACATTGACAGTACTCTACACGCGTGTGTGAGCGAGAATACATGTAATAGTGTGCACGTGTATGCGCGTGCGGGGCCTATAGGCAAGAATAAGACGCATTATGAGCTTTATAACGTAACGCGTATCAACAGATGTGTACGCGTGTACGTTAATGAAGAGTTTCTATATAAAAGTAATTATGCAATGAGCTCGCGGGGCCGATGTGTGTGTAAGTGCACATCGCGCGGACCTCGAGCTGCATACATTTATATATACAAACATATCGTATACGAATGTATATTATACGAATGAGAAAACAGCTGTTTAACAAGCTTTTTCCAAGCATTTACCAAGTATTTGCGTAATCTGTGGGCAATTACTCGTGCTTCGGGACGCCTGAAAGAAGGCGAATTATATCCCGAGCGTTGAATGCTCGAGTGTACCTCGGATACACACACCTTGTCCGTTTCGTATACAAAGGAGAAAAGCTTCCCTTTTTTCAACTTTTTTGTTTGACTTGTTTTCCTTCGAACTCCTCGACGTTTACATGACGAGTAATTTGTTCAATTAGAACCAATCCAAAAATTGCGGGCTGCAGTGAGAGAGAGAAAGAGAGAGAGAGAGAGAGTTCGATGCGTGACGTGCCCCGTTTGTAAAAGGACACTCGGTAATTGTACATTAGAATTGTACATATTACGAGGAAAAAGTTTATCGTTTTATGTCTATACCCAAATCCAGTCAATACTTTCATGTAAAATCGTTAGTACTTAAAGAATTATTATTACTTTTTCAATTGCAGATTTACTGACAAAAGAGACTCGCCATCTAGTGGTGGTACCTCAGAGTGGTTTTATAGTATTTCAAAGTGGTTGAAAACTAAGTAGTCGATATGAATTTATCGAAACAATTCAATTGTCATTTCAGATCCTTTTAAAAGGACATGTTTTGATTATCGGGTCGTAATTAACGTTTAGAATATCTACCAGGAGTAAAACGTGTGAGAAAACATATCAATACATATTTTCATTACCGCGATTACGAAAATTTTTGTTTTTCTTTTCCACATACGGAGCGTCAACTTTGATAAATTATCATGCAAGCGTACATGTGTAACCGTCGCGTAATTATCCACCGAACACTTATTAAAATTAACCTTTCATAATTTTTAAACGTGTGTATATAAACAGCGTGCGCCGCAAGTGTATGCGTGCGTGCTCGTGTGTACGCGGACACTCCCGAAAACGCGATTGCATGGCGCGCGCGCAAAAATTCATTAAAACGACATTTAACTCTAGCGCGCTATGCGTGTGAGTATAATAATACAAGCGTAAATGCGATGATGGTATTTTACGATCATCGCGTACATGTGTGTATGCATAAAATAGCTCCTTCGGGCTATCAATAAACAACCCGAGACGCGACGTGTGTGCACACACTCGTTACGTCGTTCAATCCAAAATATAAAAACGAATGCGAGCTTTCGTCGCTTTTTTTTTCTATAAAAATGATTATAAATTATAAATTAATAATTAAGAAACTCCGATGAATTCGCTGACGACCAAAAAAAAATACGTAGGTATGTTTTGTCCAGACAATGCAGACTCATGGAGCAACGATATAATTATCCGATTTGTACATGACAGTTCGAGTTTAAAAATTACAATTTATTCAACGATAAAAATTGAATGATTACGGAAGCTCGGCGGCCGAGTGTGATTGATTCAGTGATACATATGTAATAACGCGCGGAGTCTGCTGTTTCACATGATGTATGATACGTCGCGTTTGCCACCGGTCATTTTGACCGCGCGAATTCGTACGAAACTTTAATTAGAACGGCTCGTTTAATCGGAAGGAAAAAAATACGGAGTATGACTCGTCAAAAGCTATGATACACGGCTCGCGATGCCTTAAGGATTGATTCGCGGCGACGCGACGTTCGTCAAAGTTTCAGGATTCGCGCATGAATCCGCGCGAGCACATACATACGCGAAAATGGCATATGTACGCGTAAAGGTGCTACCTACTCGCGCGCGTGTATGTGCGTATTTATATGCGTGTACTTATATACGTATTATAAAAGTAGCGGGACGAGTTTGCAGGCGAGTGGCGACGGCGCGGTGGCGGCAGCAACTGGTTGCACTGGCATCAGCGGAGCCAAGTGGCGGCGGCGGCGGCTGTGCATATAGCCTTCGCATTCTTTATAAGCCACAGAGCTCGCGAGTGAGAAAGAGAGAGAGAGAAGTGAAAGCCCGTCGGTTTCAGGGAAATTTCGTATACATATGTGTGTGTGTGTGTGTGGCTGTTGTTGAGCTGCATTGCTATAATGCGCGCTTAAAACTTTATTATGTGTACGTATACTTTGGATCGAAATAAAGTGTAAGATAAAAATATACGAGCTTGTGTGCTGCCTGCTGCACACGTGCATGAAGCGCGCATTATCCTTGCGAGATTCGAAATATCTCGTACTGTACTCGTACTGGTACTCGCGAGAGATGCCGGTAACGATCTCGAGGACATCGATTTTTTGACTTTCGCATACAAGCGTGCGCGCACACATACGTGTAGGGAGTTGGATAATAATTTTGTTGTCCGATGCTGTGTACGGCGTATGCCGTGGCACGCGCGCACAAAGAACAGCAAAACGTTCGCGCAAAAAATTATCGGCACGCAATCGTTGTAAAACATCAATAAAATGTATAAAAGCAAAAAAAGGAAAAATGAGCCATAAGACCTTACACATCAAAAATGTTGCCAACGCATTAGCAAAAGGCTACCACCTAACAGACAGTAGGATTATTCTCATTTTTATACATTAATGCTTATAGAATAAGACAAGGTCATACAATATAGGCAAGTACGCGGAAAGATAATTTTACCCCGAGAAACCCCAAGAAAAAAGAAACTATTTTTAAAAAATTAATGAAATTTCGGATTTTCTCAAGATCTAAGAGATTTTTGGAAATATTTCTTCAGTGAGTAAGAAAAAAAAGTAATTTAAAACTAAAAACTTTGGGGTTTATCGACGATTTTTAAAGGTACACGTACATCAGATGAAATATCGTATTTTTTTTTAATTTTTGGACTGTATCTTATTTAATCATTTATATAATTTTGAAATTTGATAATGTCTTAAGATAATTGCCATTTATGGATGAAAATTAGAGTAATCAGGAAGCTAGCAATTTTCCAATGTATTGTCAGCAGTTTTCTGATCGCCAATTTGACCCAGAAAATCAAAAGTGAAGTAAAGTGGGGTAGAGCCCTATGGGCAGTTTATCGTGGAACGATATTGATCGTTACGCTAACTTTAGCTTGAATCAGTCGACTGCTTACGACGCTATTGACAGCACACGTAAACAAAGGTAAGCCTAGCACCAATTTCAATTATCATCAAACAGAGTAGTATATCATCTCGATATTCTGAGATTTTCTCTTCTTTTTTGTTTGTCGTACAGACAATGTCGCACCCAGGGAAAATCCTTGCGTTGCTCCTGGTGGTGAGCCTCGGTGCTGAAGCATCGGCCAGTAGCTCGGAACCGATATTATTCTTTGGGCGTCAGTCCTACAAAGACTTGAGTTGGGTGGATGTCAAATGCACGGAACATCTGCCTGACCAAAACCGTACCCGGTGTGTGGTGAATCTCGTTCTCGAAAAGGAACCACGCGACGTGTTGACCAATGCTTGCCACGTCAGACTGAGAACGGGGCGCTACCCCCTCCAGCCCGACTCCATGCAGGTGGTTCGCTTTGGCGACTACAGGGCCATTCTGAGCTGGCAGGTGCAGCTTGAGCACAGCAATAAGACCAGCTGGCGACTCGGCGTCATGGACTTGAAGCGCTGCAGGTTTCACGAGAGCCCGATGGATCACGGCTGGAAATTACAACCCGTGAGCTTTGTCGTGCACGAGAATGAATTTACCGTCGTAGTCTTCAGTGAATCTCCAGATAGTCCGTGCGCCGTGCCAGACTCGGGTCGCAACGTGCCGAGGTGTAAGATCCGTTTCGACTATGAAGGCGATCGTATCGGCAATGCCGTGGTTTGGTTCGTCCAGCCCCAACGGGACGACAAAATGATAGTGGAACCGTTGGGGAATTCGATGGCTGGATACCTACTCATTGAGACTTCCAATCCAAAGAACTCGACTTCAGTCGTCGCTCGCGCTTCCATTATCAAAAATGACGGTAAACTGCTGACACTTGGTAGCTACGAGTTGGTGAGCAGCACATCAGGCAATCCTTACGATAACATAGCTTACTCGAAGGTCAACGGCATCATCGGCATCTGCGTCGAGACCAAAGGTGATCAGCTCATTTGCAGCCAGTTCGATCGGGAAGGCAATAAGACGCTCGAGAAGTCTATCCCGGTGAAGCGAAAGAACAAATACTTTATGATGAATCTGCCGCGTCCCGGTGGGATGATGTTGCTCAGTTACATTTGCACAGACCCGGACAACTTGTGCAATCTCGTGGACTCGATTACGATCTCCATATCAAAAATCGAAAGCAACGGAGACATCGTGCCGGATGTGTTTGAAAGGAAAGAATTGTACACGTGCAACAAAAAGTTGTATCGGGGTGACGTACAACTCTTTTCTGTGGGCCCGGATCACTACTGCTACACCCAAGCCTGTATCGGTTACCCGAAGGACGCCAGCATGAGGAGTCCCATGATTGACTCAATATGCTTTTTGGCACGATCGAAGGAGATCACCGATTCGAATACTAGAGGGATCGCATACTTCGATCATCACAGCTACTACAAGAACACGACTCACCTGACGGTGTACTGCGGCCACTTGGCCCATCGCGACGACGGCAAACAATTGTGCGAGGTGAGTCGCTACATCGATCAGCGCCTTCAGAAAACGTGCGAAGTCTGGCTGCAGTCGGACCAGCAACCGATCAAGCCTGAGCATATGCAGGCGCTGCTTTTCAACGACGACAAGGCCATTCTGAGCTGGCAGGCATACGCCAACGAACTCCACGGAGCGTGGCGATTGCTGGTCGTTCACTTCGAGGACTGCTCCTGGTATCAGCCCGAAACGAAGTCCTGGCCTTACGTGCCCACGAACATCGTGGTGTACAAAAATTATTTCGCTGCGGTGGTCACGAGCACGACGGAGGATTCGTGCAAGATGTCAGGCTCGGGCTACAACGTGAAGAGGTGCATGATGTTATTCGACGACAAAGGCCAAAATACCGCTGGGCCCCTCAATTGGTTCTTACAGTCCGAACGGGACGACGACATGACGCTGGTGCCGTTGGAGTACGAGAGTTCAGTGAACGGCCATCTGCTCATCGAGACGTCCAAAAAACCCAATTGGCTATTCGCTCGTGTCGCCATTGTGAAAAATGACGGCCAACTGGTGACGCTTCGCAGCTACCAGCACGTGAGCGATAAGTCAGGCGATCTACACGATGCGATAGCCTACTCGACGGACAACGGCTTCATCGGCGTCTGCGTTGAGATCCGAGAAAATGGCCAAGAGAAAATCATTTGCAACCAGTTCGATCGGGACGGCAAGCAGACGCTCGAGAAGATATTCAACTTGGGGCGAAAACAAGGGTTCGCCGTGATAAATCTGGCCAAGCCTGGCACTATGCTGCTCCTTCATTACGTGTGTACCGATCCTCAGAGCCGGTGCGAGAATCGAAACTCGTCGGTGGTCGTCGTATCGAGGATCGAAAACGACAAAGACACCCCCCAGCCTGTGTTCAACAGTTTTTCAGAATACCAGTGCGATAGGCGGTTCAATATAGCTTCAGCTCAGCTATTTGTGAAGGACTCGGGCCAGTACTGCTTCACGCAAGTCTGTTATAGGGACCCGAAGGATCAGGACAACTTCTACAGACCCGTGATTTACCCGACTTGCTTACCCGAAAAGGCGCTCGAAGCTACCGCCGACCAGAAGATGTTGAGGTTCATATTATGATGATGACGATTTTGTTTGTACACGCAGAGTGTACTTGGACACATTTTGGTCGATTAATTTTGTTTTTGTTCCATTTGATACAATTTTACTCTTGTTATAAATAGCTACCAGACGTTTTAAATTATAATGGGTACATACATTTGACATGACTTCAATCGAAATAAATAAATAGCTTTTTGAAATTAAAACGATCGGCCTCGTTGTTATATCAAAACCAGTGCTTTCATGTTAGTTAAATTTATGAAAATATGTTCACTTTAAAATGCCCAAATATTTCTAATTTTCTTCACTCTATAATGTGAAGATTGTGTGTCTCTTTGAATTTTTCCAAAATTAAAAAAGCACCTTTTGTTTTCGGAATGTAACTTAAAGAATTTTCCTACATTCTTGAATGAAAAAATTCACTTTTTAGCTTAAAAAACGTGAAATGCAAGAGATAAAAAAAAGGATAAAACTGACGTATACATGCGAACATGCTAGATAGTTTTCGCCCGTGCCGATACTCATCATAATTTTTCGCGCAATAATTTGCATTGTGTTGCGTATTCAAACCAACGTTACATTCGCGTTACTATACTTTTGGAATTCCCCACATTTATAATGCCACACTGCAGTCGCACGTATAAATGTACACAACTACGATTCGACTGCATTGAAAACAATCGATTGATTCGAGCTCGCGCATCGTAAATAATCGCTGAAAATTCGTCTTGTACGTAGCACTAGCAGCAGCGAGCAACTCTGCTGAAAATTTCAATTTATGTAAATGCATCGTCGCTCGCGCGCGCACATATTATAATAACTCTCTCAAAAGCGCACAGTGGAGTATAACAATAATGATGATGCGCGATGGCACGATAAAAGCCTGCCGTGCGCGAGGTACATAAAATTTGATTGATTGAAATTTTATGTACCTCTCGCGAGCTCAATATGTACGATGCACGTGTATTATATAGCAGATATACGAGGACTGCCAGTTGTCATGTGTGTGTTATATTATGAAGCTGTATTATCATGACAATGGCGCATTCGTTATAATAACGTGTACGAATCAATTTATTTTAAGAATATCGCGTGATATTTATGCATATTATTATATGTACTGTGCAGCGCGCGAATCGTCGTCACGCAAATTCACGAGATTGTTGTCACAAAAATCTGCTGGATGATCTCAACAATCGAGTTTAGATCCTTACGTATTAGAGCTTTCGCATTCACGTGTTGTGCGTATAGTGAATAATTCGGTGACAAGTTTTTCATCGAATTCCGAGATTCCACAGACTTGTTTCCTTTGTTTTTTGCCACAAAATCTGAATAATTTCAATCAAATCTAATAGTCGCGCCGGCGCAGCTTCATCAATTTATCAAAAGATATCGATACATCCGGCTCGTGGATATATTATTGCTCTAGAGTGCTTATAACGATCTCGAGCCGATCTTGTTCTCTCTCGACACCAAAAACAGCATAAGTGTACAAGGCGTATCGACCAATTGGCAAAATATCGAAAGCACTTGCCGAATCCTAGTTGCAAAACGCAAACAAAAGGAAATAAAAACTTGCGCAAAGACCGAAAAAAGCTCGTGAGTATCCGCCGACGCATTATTAGCCGACCTTAAGCCAAAAATACCGATATATATCTTGAAAAAAGGCGCGTGTTTTGCTCGTATAAAACACAATATATTTTATATAAATTGTATAAATCGTATATAAACGTGAGTGTGTGTGTGTGTGGTATGTGTGCACGTACTTATGTGAAAGAGTGAGGGGGATATTATGAGACTGGCAACGATTACTGTCGACAACGACGGCGACGGGCGACCTTCCTTTTGCCTCGGCAGTGGTGTAGTAGTAGTATGTGTGTATGGAAGTAAGCGGCCGATCTCTTGGTTTCTTGGTTTCGAGCGCATTTTTCGATATCGAAGCGGAGATAAGCGCGCGAGCCAATGTGGACCAGCGCAGAGCGACGGTAGAACAAAAATCCATTGGGAGTGGCCGCCGCGCTCTTGCGGCTACTTTTCGCGTACAGCAACTTGACTATTTTTCCTTGGCGATATACACATAAGCCGCGTGTTTATGTGTGTTGAGTGTATGGCTTTTTATTCCACGCGTATTTTGTATCAAGTGCTCGTGGATAATAAAAATTTGTCGATCTCGAATCTCGATGCAACTTCTATACATAGCTGGGCACGCGGAATGAGTTAAGCACTACTCGAATTGCCCGATTATAAAATGAGCTTTTCGAATTCAATTACAACAAAGGACGATTAGTGCAGCGTACAGCGCACATGTAGGCACACACACACATACACACATGTACAATAACGTTTTCTTCTAATTACATAATGTTAACGATGCACCAATAACAGTCGAATTTTTCTCAATTGCAATTACCCGCGCGCGATTCTCCCCTCGCGCCCGCGGGTGCTATATACGCCACATACATTATATTGCTCGCGCGTTTACGGTTTTTTACCGTTAAAAATATTTTCTTCGCCGCACGCGTAGAATTTTAATTGCCTAAAATTATACGGTGGCGTGCAGACTTCTAATACGCGAGGCTTTGGCGCTAGAGCTATAGGCTTTTCTACGACTGCACAACACTGCTGCACAGTGCACACCGTATTTATATACCGAAATAATAGTTTTGGCAACAAAAGAAATTTTTGCCAACGTCCACATACGTGTATGTAGGTAGCATACAGGTGCCGCTTTGGTTCAGTAAGTACGTCGAATCTCGACATTTTTTCCGGGGTATAAGTAGCTAGAAAAATTTTTCGTTCAAAAACGAGTTTGTTCCAATTGCAGTGTTTCCTATATACAACGGCGCAGCGGAAAATTTTATTCTGAATTTAACGAACCCATATAGACATACATATGAGAAACGAGCGAGCTCTGGCTTTTTGCGTAAGCGCACGCTACTCTTTTTTTTTCTATGATCCAACCTAAATGAAGTGAATATAATAGGCGTTTCTCCTCATGAAGACGCTGTTTAATTGCAGTATTGTCTTAGCGCGATTTTTTTCTCTATTTTTCCGTGTAGCAGCAGCAGCACCGGGCCTTTGCTCAAAATCACACATCGTTGCGCAATTCGTTGCATTAAACCATTTATTAAGTTAACGTACTTCGAACAAAAATAACAATGTCGCTCCGAAATCGGTGATTAAGTCTTTTTTTTTTTACTAGACGATTTCAATACGACTATTATAATACGTACACGCATGGGTGTAATATGATTTACGAGCGCAAACTTTTGGGCAGTTATTTCAAAACCGAAAAAGATTTTTTTTAGCTACGTGTGAAAGACTAAAAACAACACGACAACAATCGATATTATATATATTATATATTTTTTGTGACCTAAATTCAGGTGTGTATAGGCCACACTCGCGCATACTCCAAAACGCGATCGTACCAGACTATAAAAATGAGCCATAGCCGAAACACCCCGTGCGCCAGCGCAAAGTAGATAATCGATCGAGGATTGCACACATAATACACAGCCTATATATGGGTTATATTTTATTTTCAATTTCCAAACAGCTCGAGCTTCCATCATTTCTCGGTGTGCGCATGCATATTGCGCGGCTGACGCGTGCTCTTTCATATCGACACACATACACATGCAGATATATAAACAGCAGCGGAGTCGCTCATAGTCCGCGCGTTATATATACGGCATAAACGCGCGGCGGCGTTCGCGAAAAGGGAAAGTCGATCGTTGCTGCTGCTGCTGCTGCGCTCGAAGCGAGATCGGAAAAAAACGGTGGCCTCCATATCGCCGGGCCTCTCTCGACTCTCTTTTTCTCTATCTCTCTCTCCGTCTAACGTATCTCTCTGCCGTGTGTATGTATGCACGATGCTCTGAAATCCTGTAATCACGAATACACGCTGCATATATGGTAGTTAAATTTTTCGACAATTTTCCCGCTGGAACTATCGTATTATGTACCGCGAGAGTTAATGTATAATCAACGGATTAGAACAATGAGGAGCTGTGTGTGGAGCCGCGCGGGCGGCCGGGCGTGAGCTGAATTGACAAATCGATCGACGTGTGGGATTGCGATTGCTCATTGTGACTGCCATTGATCCTATGTATAGTCCTGTATATTTAGAGGGAGGATCTTCCATATAGCTTTTAGCTGCGCATGGAAACATAAATTTTTGAGGCCCAGTGCGGAATTATGGTATATGCATGGGCGTTAGAAAGTGACGAGGACCGACGGACGGGGGCATCGTTTAACGTTTGTCAAAGGGTCTCTCGTCGGGAAACAAATAATTTCACCGCGTGTCTCTTCTTGCCTCTTCAATTTCACGTATTTATATTCATAAACGAAAAAGTACACTCGTACGTACGTACTCCACGGGTCGCATATCCGCATACACACGGACGTATTCCGCAGCGGCGGCGCTGGGCTTTTCAGTATTCGAGTGTATGAGCTGCGCATACAGACTCGAGTTATATTTGCATTTATATATATACACACACACTCGATATGTGTACGCTTATACTTGCTGCTCGCTGGCCAGTACACATAAAGCTGCCAAAGAGCTTCTGTCGCGCGTCGTTTTTTGACACAGATTTCCATATAGCGACAGTCGCACATGCAGCAGCATAACAAACAAAAAGGCCTATTGCCGATAGTCATTTACATTTGTTTACATTAGTCGCTACACGCATACAGCAGCTGCAGCGGCAGCTCGTACATAATATGAGCGAGGCAAGAAAGTCATCATGATTGTGTGTGTGTGTGTGTGTGTGTGTGTGCTACGTGTGCGCCGCGCGCTGCACCTGACTTTCTAAATAACGATTTTCCTTGCGTGCCCCGTCCGCGTACCGATCTTATACGGTTGCACTTGCGCACATCATTTCTCTCGGTAAACATTGACTTCCTCGCGGACGCCGCGCAGCAGCTCGTTTAATTGTTATATCATGTGTGTATATCGCGTATGTGTGCTCGTAGGAGGCAGGCGCACGATGATGATGAGCCCACCCGGCCGAAGATGCCTCGTCTCATCCGTTCCAGTGCACCGATACGCGGGCTTACTATATTATACACACCGCGGCTTTCGCCGCGTTACCGAGACGCATCGCTGCGTGTAAGATACTTCTCTTCTCGAGCCGATTCCGTGTTCAGCTGCACGTGTGAATATAGTAAAATTATAGATCCGATTCGTGGATGGAAGCTG